TGTGTTTGCATATGGTTCTTGATGTCACACAGTGGCAAATTTGCATGTAATCCTTATTGTGGCACTGTGGCATTTGTGTTTGTGATTTTCTTTGTGAAGTCTTAATGTGTTTGCAGGAAATTCATAATGTCGCACGGTCATGTTTACCTCTGATACCTCTATTCGTGGTTTGCATTTAGACAGAGTAAATTTTGCACTGTAATGCGATTGCATATGATTGTAGACATCACAGAGTTTAATGTTTTTGCGTGTCGCGCCCCAAAGGCTCGTAAAACGAACTGGCTGTGGAGGACATGGACGGTGGGACCTTCACCATCAGCAACGGGGGCGTTTTTGGGTCCATGTTCGGCACTCCCATCATCAACCCCCCGCAGTCCGCCATCCTGGGCATGCACGGGATCTTCGAGCGTCCGGTCGCGATCGGTGGAAAGGTACGCACGCACACTCCTCACAGCGCATTCCACACTGCCTGTAAATCTCTACCCCCAGTGTCTCCTGCCTGTCCACTGTCCTTACTCTAACTTTTCTCCGGACTGCCCCAGGTGGAGATTCGCCCAATGATGTACGTGGCTCTGACCTACGACCACCGCCTGATCGATGGCCGAGAGGCGGTCACATTCCTCCGCAAGATTAAGGCCGTGGTGGAGGACCCCCGTGTCCTGCTGCTGGACATGTGACCTGTTACGCCACCCCCACACGATCACAACCAGACCCAGAATTCTCTTTGACCACACCTCCAGTCACACTAGCAATGGCTATATGCCCTCTGTGGTTCTCACTTCATTTGATTTATTCTATGGCTTTAAAGAACTGTTGGTGAAATGTCACACGCAAGCAAAGAGTTTCTGGAGCTCTGATTGTGTTCCAGAGATCGCTCTTGTTCGTCTCAGACTGAGCTTTCACTGGAAGAGACATCTGTTCTAGCGTAAGGAGGCCGTCCCACCATGTACTAGATTATGTGTTCCTCCTCACTCTATATTTCTCATGCTTTTTGAGGGAAATGTTTGTGCCACAAATGTAATTTTTAACGGCAAAGAAAAATGGTGCAAGCTCAAGCAGTGAGTCTTCAGTGGGCAAACATAACCACTCAGTAAAGGTTGTATAACATTATTCTATACGAAGAGATATTGCAATACCAGGAACGCTAGTTAGTTATTCCGTTTTTTTTTCTTGCTTTTTTTTATACTCGGGCACAACATTTCCAGAATCGTTGGAACATGTTTTCAAGACGCACAATCGCCAGTGTCTTTTACGCAAATTTGAAATCTGATTCATCCACCACCGTGGCAACAGATGGTGTCTGTGCTGTATAAAAACTTGTAACTATTTAAGAAAAACAAATTTTAAACATTAAAAAGAATGCATTCTAGAGTTGTACATATATGTGTCTTTTTTCCTTCTTTTGATATATTTTTTTTAAATATTGATTTGGTATTCGTTATCTTTGTAGACACATATCAGCTAATTCTAATTGTGTAAACGTGCTTTTCCAGCATCATTTACTAAAATTTTCATTTTAGATGACAAGACACAGAATACATTTGGCAACTTTTAGAGAAGGTTAGGCAAATCTTAGGCATATGAGACTGACATTACTTGATCACAGCATGCTGTGAGTTTTAAGTAAAAGGTTCATTGTTTGGCTTATTTTTCAGACCATTAATTCCCACTGGATTTTTGCAAAGCTTGCCCTCTTTTCCTCCATAAGGCTCGGTAAAGGAACAGGCAGCTGGCCAGGAGTGGTTTCTAGGAAGCGGCGAAAACAAATTCAACCAGCGTACTTTCTTGTCGATCCCCAGGTAGGCCCAGTCAGTCATGTGGACCTCAGCCTATAGTCGATTGGCCAGAGCCCGCAGTTGCAGGACTTGTGTCTGCTTCCAGAACAATCATATTTACACTTGATGGCCATTTGATGCCACTCACCATGTCTGAGGAGTGGGCAGATCAGGAATAAAGAGATAGTTGCGCTTCTACCCTCACCTTCCCACAATGCCCACTGAAGTACCCCCAGCTGCATTCAGGGTCCTTTGCTACTTGTTTACTTTAATAATTACAAGGCACAATGGCTCCTGATAGACGTCTTTGTTTCTCTGCCAGCACCTACACACAAACGTCTGAATGGTCCTACCCTTACAGGAAAAACACGGAATTCATTACATGCAGAAAAACATAAGTCTCCAAGTGTGAGATTAGCATAAGAATAGAGGCAAGCTCTAATGTAGATGAAGAGATTGAACAGCGATGTGACAGGCATTTTTCAAATTCTATTTGCTTTAATTGGCCACTCAAGGTTCCATTAGCAGGCAGGAGATGATTCTTAGTTTACCGTGTGAGCAACAAGGTCCATAGATATCCCTGCTATTACTTTTCTCTTTTTCGTGGTATCCTTTAAAATTTGGCACAAGATGCGAGTATCTAATAAGGCCTTGAAACGGGACTCCGAGAGCTCTGAGGAGGCCTTTGTATTCGACCAGATGAAAGCTGAGATAATAGAATGGGTTACTTCGCTAAAGATGGCTGTTTGTTTTCATTGGACACTTCAGAATGGAAATTTATGTAAATGATACCAATATTGTCGCTGGCACTGCATCTTAGGCCGCGTGCAGACGCTGTTTGAATCTCAGGCACTGCCACTTCAGAAGGACGCTTTATCCCCGCGGATCTGTGCAGCTTCCTCAGAGATCGAGCGCAAGCGGCGTCGACAGCAAGCCTGAGGTTCGGCTCCTTCCTCAGAGCTGCCTCAATGAATCAGTCAGTGCGTCCGGTTGTAGTGTGGAGTGTTGGCTCCTCTCACAGATATCTCGGTTCACGTTCACTCATGCAGAGGTTTTTTAATGTTTTACAGGAACCGTATAAACTTTGTTAATAAATAGTGCATTGGTTAAGGTTGCTGGCTGGTATCTGCTAGCATAAATCACCAGCACACTGCAGATATATGCACGGAATACATCTGACATTTACCTGAATCCACATACATCCCATCATATCTGGAACTTGTTCCTTTATGTCCTGTATGAGGTACCTAATGGCTACTTCCACACAAAATCCGAGGACAACAGCTTCAGCTTTCCCATCCTTATTGGTGAGCTTTGGCACTGGATACCTCTTATAGGAGGAAAGCAAAGCATTGTGACAGGATATGTGTAGAGTCATTCGTGATTGGTCTGTTTTTCTTCCACAGCGGAACTTCCTGTGCAGCTGGCCACATGGGTTGGATTACATGTTCTCCATTGTCATTTCTGTGTGACAGTCCACCACACCAGATAATCTCGGGAATCATTGAATGCAACGATATTATAATTCACCCTGTCCAGTTGTTCACTGTCAAAGGAATATTAATTATACAAGATCAGGTTTTTGAAAAGTGCTTTCATAAAAGCATTTTATGGTTTCATTACAGCATCATTAAAGAATTTTACGAAAACAACTGGTCACTCTACTGTATGTACTCCTTAGAGTTTTCTCAAATCTGTCATCGCTCAGTTCTCCTTAAAGCCGCGACCTCTGGTCAGATGTGTCAGAACGCTCAACCCTAGTCATCCAGCCAACAGAGGGCGACACTTAAACGTTCTCAAGTGTAAGGTGTTCGGGTTTATAGTACGCCTCTTGAAAACATGGTGAACGCTCAGCAGAACAATCAGTCGAAGGGACAGACGGGGGGGCCATTTTGCCACCTTGTCTCACAAGGTCATAATTTGAATAATCAGCCTCCCTCCCATGATCACTACGCATTCAGCTCCTTATGCGGTAGTACCAGTCGAAAGTTTGGACACACCTACTGAAAATCATATATTTATCTTTCTTACAGCCATTTTCACCTAAAGGATAATGTTAAAATGATCAGAATTAGCAGAAATTAGTTTCTTACATAAATATAAATAGTCAAGTTTATGTCCATGCAAAATGTAGTCCATGCAAAGTTTTTATTGGAAAAAGGTCTTTTGAGCCAGTACCCCCGTTCTGTGGTCTTGCTTTAAATATAGCAAAGATGTTGTAGGTACGAACTATTAACAGAGTGATAAGGTAGAGTGGGTACCAAGGGACCTATCTGGCAGAAAGCTTTTGCTTTTTGTTGTAAAAGTCAATAATATTGCAAGAAAAGCTGAATATTGCAAAGAGAAACATCAGTCCATAATTTCTATTGGATTTAATTATAGTCCATAATTTTCTATGAGAAAGAAAGAGCTGGTTTGGGATGAGTTGGCCTGAAGAGAAAGATTAGGGCAGCCAACTTGCGCCCAGAACTTGTGAGAACTCCTTCAGGACTTCTGGAGAAGCATTCCAGATGGGTACCTCTGGAACCTGGTTGAAAGAATGCCAGGCGTCTGCAACGCTGTCATTAAAGCAGAAGGGGGCTATTTTGACGAGTCTAAAATTTAGGATAATATTGAACATTTCTCTTGGTCGCTGCAATATTTGATCTATACTACTTCATTGCTTCAAGGCCTTCTTGCAACTGTAAGGCAAATAGCATGGCTAAAATAGAGAAAAATGCATTAAAAAGCATGTGTCCAAACTTTTGACTGGTACTGTATATGGAAAGATATGTCCTCAAACCAGGGGGACAGTACATTCGGATGAATCGCAGTGATACGATCGCCTTATTTTGCTCTCCCTGCAGCTTGCATAAGTAATCTACTCCTGCATATTCAGGGTACACCAATCGTGCCACATTCAAAAAGCATTCAAATGAATCTCCGGCAGGCTCCGCTCGGCAAGGTTAAGTGTACCGTCCGTATTCTTTAATTAGAGGCAACATTGATACTGATGTACAAAGGTTTGGTTTTTTTTTTTTGTCTTATTCAATTACAGATTACTAATGACAGTGCAAGGGTCTCCAGGTACCAGCACAATGGAACACAGGTTCTGGAAGCTATGAGCTTGGCAATCGGCCATAGGCGAAAACAACACCTGAGTAGGCCAAGGGTTAGCGATTGTGCTCAGGTGGTCCCGGATGAGCAGCAGAAGGGACGGGACACGGCACCTGCGAGAGTAATGTAGATGAGGTGACCGAGCGGTTAAGGTGACGGACTGCTAAATCCGTTGTGCTTTGCACGCATCGGTTTGCATCCCATCCTTGCCGGGTGTGCTCTCTCCTTTCTCCTTTCTCCTCTCTCCGGCTTAATGCACTTTGAGTTGTAAGCCGCTGTGGATAAGAGCGTCTGCAAAATGCCTGTAATGTAATGGTGCAGTCGCTGTAGTGAGAGCAGGAGAAACGGCACAGGTAGCAGTACCAAAAGCAATGTCACCATGTGGTTTGATATTGATCTGAAACACAGATACATTTATTTGAATCCATAGTTAGTTTAAAAATGGAAGACATGGCAGCAGAAGTCATAGCAGCAGAAGGAGTGGCTATAATCAGCTGAGTCAGATTAAAGCCACTTCGATTTGAAATGGAATGAAGCCTATATGCTCTAGAGTATAGCACTGGGATGAGTTTATTGGAATAGCTCACAAAGCAAGTAGATCAATAATAGTAATGCCAAGCTAACAATGAAAGCATTTTATTAGTAGTTTATTACCAGTTTATTAGTGTTGTCAGAGGGTGGTGATGACATATGAGTACTATTTTACACTAGAGGGCGCTGTTTTACATGTAGAATAAGAGACAGCACTGATCATTGGAGTTCTCCTAAGAAATTACTGGTGGTGATTCATCTAGGGTATAGTTGTCCCATTTTTGGTTCTGATCTCAGGTAGCACATTTTCAAAGTAGCGTAGATTTCCTTTTTTCCTTGTTGCATTTACAATGTTCAAAGGGATTAAAGAGACCAGTTTAGGTCTGAGGCGGACAAAGCACTGTCTGATTCTGTTCACCTCCTTTGGGGACAGTACCCTGAGATGAGCTTCGGCAACCCTCTCTCATCAGCAGGTGTATCCTGTTCTGTTGTTTACGTACAAATGCTAGAGCACGTCTTTGATGACAAGACTTGAAAACATGAAAGAGTTGGCCATTTGGCCTTTTCATGGCGTTGGAGTTGTGGTTGGGGGTGGCGGAGTGTGTGTGTGTGTGTGTGGGGGGTGGGGGTGGGGGGGAGAGTTAATTTCCAGAAATCAGGCATTCAAATTAGAGGATCCAAGGTGTTCAACAAATCTATTTAATATTAACAGATACCACCTAACAGTCTGTTTGTCTGAGACCAATATTAGCAGTGAAAGGAAAGTGTCTGACATTCAGCAATCCACAATCGTCAACTTTTTTTAGCGCCTTGCCCTGTTAATAAGTGAAAAGTGAGAGTCGTACATTCTCATTTTCATGCTAGCTGTTGGTAAAGCTGTTGCTTAAATGCTAAATACCGATGTGAATATTACATCTCCTCCTGCAATCTGCTATAAATTCATTGTGACAGAAGTGTGCAATGGAAAGGGTGCTTCTGCTTGTACATGGCTGCTTAGGCTCAATGTTTCCTTTAAATATTTTCTCCACAGGTAAATTTGGTGCAGTTCCTTCGCTCAGTAAGGCTTATTTTATTTGTTTTCTCAATGCCTGATGGAACAAGTTAATTATCCTGAATCAGCTGAGTTATATAGGCCTTGCTGTCTGCTACAGAGCTCAAAAAAATGACACAAGTATTATAAAATAGATATCAACTGAAAATTGTAATATCAAATAAAGTAATATGTGACATTATATAAAATTATACTAAAAACAGAAATACCATGTTATTTCCATTGCCACACGTTTTTTTTTTTCAAAGCTTTTTCAAAGAACTGCAAAATATTCAAAACGTGTTATTGATATAAAATCCATGTATGTGTAAAATTTCTGCTTTCATCAAACCTGAATTACAGTACAGTATGAACTTGTGATATTATAGAGCTCTGTGTGGCACACAATACACAGACACCCAATAAACCATTTTGTTATTTTGAAACATTTAGCAGTTGTTTGTTTCCATGCAGACAAACTGTTGGTTAGTTGTTCATACCTAAAGAATGTTTCACTCGTTATAAAGTGTAAGACGTTTACCCAAATCCACAAGCCATTGGACAGGATCTGACAAGAATTTGTTGTTCACCAGCTTAAAATGAACACAGTGTATGTTAAAAATGAATGGCGCTAGCTGTAAAATAAACATGGTAAACTGCATGATTCTATCATATGTCAAGGACTGTGCATGTATTAAATTTGTTCTCAAGACAAATCTGCCAGTTACCCCAGCTCATCAGGATTCTATATCGACTCCAACCTGTAGATGGCACTGTGACACCTTAGTGATTGGTCACCTGCCAATATCATGTGAGAGCTCTGTAAACTGTGCAGATGGGACTCATGTGGCAGTCTTTTGCCACACTAGCGACTAAGGTGAATAAACCGGTGAAACTGCTGCCATTGACAGAACATAATCCACATTTAAAACATCCATGTTTCATGAAGAGTACATCAAGTCTGGCCAAGCAAAGAGGATACTGGGTAGTGTCTTAACTAACTGGATAGTGTGAGTTACCTGCTTGGGAAGGACACTCTCTGGGTATTGAGTCATGAAAATGAATAGCCTACAAACAATGTAGGAATTTATTTTTAGTTTTTTTCCCTGTAAATGTTTTGTGAGCACTGAGGGAAGGAGAGTAACATATTTAAGGGCTGTTTTCAAGACCAAATCAGAAGAAGCAGGAGCAATATACAATATCCTATCTAAAAACCAATGTAAAACTTAATCTTCTGGAGGCCAATTAGGCAGTAAATTTAGCAGAGGTCTTATTATTGCCTTTTCATTTTAACAGTGAAGCAATTTCCATATATTCCTTGTCTTTATTTGAACGAACATTCAAATCAGTTTATCAAAGTCATAATTGTTAACTTCGTCTTCAGGATAACAATATTCCATTTTGTTTGATGATGTTTGTTATAATATAACCATCTGCAAAATATGACCAAGTACTCATTAGGTGAGCTCGGAAAAACTGCATGACCGCCTCATTTCACTGTATTTGATCAACCACTGTGTACACATGTTGAAAAATTGGATAGCTCATTCCAGATCTGAAAACCACAATATAGATAACTGACTGTAATGGCAACTATTGTTCAAAAAAACATGAAAATATTTCTTATATAGAGGTCTTACTACCTGCACTGCAATGTGTTCCCTTGATATAATTACCGTTGCTGTTCAATGTTCAATTTATAACAGAAAAACTACCTTCATTGGCTGTGAATCAACTACAATAGTATCCAATCGTAAGGAAGAATACACATACTTTGCTCAGAAATCGACCAATAGGATCAATGCTGGCAGCAAAGACCACGCAAATTCACATGATGACTTCCACAGGACAGGAATGAGAAAATCATATCTGAAAATATTCATCCCCTACCACCGAAGATGAACTAGGCCATGTCCTACCTGAGCAGCGCATTCGTGGTGATTCCAGTATAAAATATGTCATATTTAAAGGGAACGTTTCAATCTTAATGTTTGACATTATAGCCAATTTTTGAGGATGTCGTAAATGGAATCCATAGTGCGAGTGAAATAATAAAAATGTTTCAAAACTAAAATACAAGGGATAGTAAAAGTTGATTACCCTGACCCATGAGTTACTGGGTTATGGAATGCCTGCATTATACCATCATATATTATTAATTTACTATATCATTACTTTCTGTAAAAGGGGAAAGGGGTTTGATCACTTTGTCATGAAACAGTTTTTCTTGGCAGAAATATTAGATATGGGTCGGATTTGAAGGTTAAAGTCAAAATGTAAGAAACACAAAAGAGATGGACTGCAGTGCAGTCTCGTTGCCTATCACTGTGGCTGTGTGCAGCTGACAGTAGTTTTTCTGGAGATTCTAACCAACAGTCGACTTTGGAATTCTGGCATTTTTTAAAATGTGTTTACCCAGTGTGCAATACATTTTTGTCAAATTCCATGGGAAACGGAATCGCCCACATTATTAAATCGACATCAAATTATGTTTTTAATAAGTACTTTGCCAGTGATTATCCAAAATTAGTAATTTATCATGAAAATTCTATAGAAAGACATCATTATATTGAAATACATAATTTCAATGAAAACCGAATGACATATTCCAACTGTCATAGATACTTTCAAAACTTTTGAAAAAATTCCAAATTGTATTTATGTCAGTTGATAGCAGTTTGTAATCAGCAAAGCACATTCGATAAGCATCCAATTGATCTTTATGCCCAAAACCAAAATCCTCAATCAACGGCTCTACAATAAACTAAATATAAACTCTTTTCTTGGATACTGAACTAGAAAATGTTATATTTTTGTAATCATTAGCAATAACGCTGTGGCAATAGTGCGCATTTTAGTTCAGCAATAATGCTGACAGTGATTTCCAGTTTAAAGTCCTTATTAAAAATGGCTTTGCATCTTTCCCGATGTTAATGGGTGGCTCTTAAAAGAGCCTTTGTTTGTTCATGACAGAAATTTGTTCCTGGGCTCAATGTCGCTTGCGCCCTGCTTTCCTGCCTTTGGGTGCGCGGGTCTTGGTTTTTTTGGGGCTCCTTCTTCCTTTCCTTGCTGGTGCTCGTTTCTTGGCTTTCCTCGGGCTGGGACTTCTTGCCTTGGAGGGGGAGGCTTTTTCTCCGACGTTTACCATGAGATGTCCTTTGGTCTGCAGTAGGTCTCCTTTGGTCACAAGGCTTTTCACTGCTCGCTTCACTTGAGAGACGTTATGGGCAGCGTCGTATCCCTCAGCTTGAAGAGCTTTCTTCAAACCCGGCATGGTCACACCGCTCCTCTCATGTGAGTGAGACACGACGTCCACTATCATATCTGCAAGGCCAGCGTGACTGCAGCATGCTCTTCTTGGACTAGCTGCAGTCTTCTTACGAACCATTTTTGCTTTTCCGTTAAATTTTACAAATCAATATAACATATAACTTACAGTAACCCGTATTGTGCTTTGGACGTTTGATTTAAATGCCCCATGAGAACCGTATAGTTTCAACCTATCCCCGCGAGTAACTTTTGGGTGTTGAAAATAGCTTCTGTGTTTCTTCTTGAATATTATCTTCATAATAATCATTTGTAGAATTATGTTTGTCGTTGTAAGTCATTGCACAGCGATTAAAGGCCTTTAAACTGAAACAAAAACACTCA